AAAAAAAAAAAAAAAAAAAAAGACAAACACGATAATATCACTTATATGTGGAATCTCAAAAATAAATGTATATAGCAAAACAGAAACCGACTCACAGATGCAGAAAACCAACTAGTGATTATCAGTGGGGAGAGGGAAGGAGGGAGGGCGCTGGGCTACACCCTGCAGGCCTTCAAGCCTTGTAGTTGGCCAGCCTCGAGAGCGCGAAGAAAGGGCCTGGAGACAGTGACAGAGACATCAAACGCTTATTGTGTAAGGGGTCTTACATGTCTGAAGCAAAAGGTCCTGGAGCCACACTCCAGCCTGTAATGCACGCAGGCAGGCCACACGGCAGCCATCTTTGCTATTCAGGGAATAAGGCGGCTCACGTTTATAGGGGAATTGACGGTCAGGTTAGTTCATCAGTTACCAGGGAAACCAGCAGCCGGGACAGATCCCGCACAGCCCCTCGCGTTAACGAGCATCACGAGGGCAGGTGTTTCCTTTAATAAGCTAGCAGGAGGAGCAGTTCTGGCCTAAGGATTAGATCAATCACGAGCTAAGGCGGGGGCAAGCATGTTCACGTGAGCAGGTGTAGGTGAAGCCGGGACTGGTCGAGCAGGGGATGCACAGAGAGCAAGAGAACAGCCATCTCGAGTGGTCTGACCGTACACTCCACCCCTACATACCCTGCACGACGCTTACCACCTTGGCCTTCCTCCTACAATCCCTGCGGTCGGGTATGTAGAGGTGCAATGCAGCCAAATACAATACAAATACAAAACAAATGCAATACAGAGTCCAAGGGGTGGGCAGACTTTGGAGCCAAGCGCTGACTGAGTCAATTTTTCATGCAAGTCCAAAGGAGGATGACAGCGGCATCTCGCTGTAGACCCAGCGATCATAGCAGTGAGGCCACCATTGTCGCCCGGTTGCTCAGACTAGGGACAAAATGTAAGATGTTTAAGAGGTGCGATACAGGGAAGATCAAGACCATTAAGCAAAATACAAGCAGTAGCAGCAGCATTCTGAGATAACACCAGCCCCGCCAGTGGCTTTGTCCTGGCCTACAGTTCCATACCGCCTGTCCACCCTCAGGTCCCATAGCCAGTGCCAGGTACCGAAGCGGTGGTAAAACGACTGACCACGGGGTTGATATAATGTTGCCTTTCTCCCTTAGGGGGCCCAGATTAATTACCTTAGTAGTCTTAGGTGTGGCGGGGTAGAAGACAGGTGAAATCTGTAAGTCCCTTTCTAATCTTACTCCCCATGGGGCAGCAAACCCAAACCACCAGGGGTTTACCTGCCCATCCCAGGGCCATTTTATGTATTCGCCTGGGGGTAGATCCTGCAGCAAGGGCAGGCACTGGGACGATTGCTCCTGGGATGTGTCCACGTGTGGAGAGAGCGGGTTTCCCATCTCAGCTGTTGTTTAAGCAGTCCATCATCCTTTCAATTAGCCCAGCAGCAGTGGGGTTGTAGGGTAGGTGGAAATGCCAGCGTATGTCACTTTTATTGGCCCGTGCCTGAACTTCATGGATGGTAAAGTGGGTTTCTTGGTCACTATCAATGTCCATGGGGGTCCTTTATATTGGGCACAGCTGTTCTAGAACCCCAATGGTGGGTTTCTGGCATTGCTCGAGGACTTGGGTAGACCTTTTGTAACGTCTTCAACCTGTTGTAACACATCACAGACGGCGTATAGCTGTTGTTCCATTATACTGTATCATTGCTCTGCCCCCTTCCACAGCTGGGACCAGGAGCCCAACGGTACTCTTATTATTTTGCCATTGTCACAGGCCCCAACCAACCCCTTCAGGGTAACTGGCCACGTCCAATTCACAAGCCTATCCCTGAGTTAATATCCCTAAAGCTTGTGACTGTAGTTGTTTAGGGGTGCTGGGTTGGGAGTATGCTTGTCTTACCCAACCAAATAACACCCAAATATCTGATAGATAATCCAGGTCCTTGGGTTTTGTCTGTATGCACCAGCCATCCCTCGTGCAGTCAGATGAGCCACGAGTATGGGGCTGCTACTTTTAAACTGGAAAGAGACTCTGAGGTTAATAGGAGATCATCACTATGATAGAAGAGAAAGACATTTCGCATGGTGGTCAGCTGCCACAGGGTCCTACAGGCTAGTGGACGGCCTCCTCGGGATCAACCCCTGCAACTTCCCGTACCCTGTCTTTATTTCCCCACATCTCGGTGCTCACGGGAATTGCCTCGGCTCCCTGGCTGGCTCACCAATTGTTGGGCTGCACCTCGCAGGCCTTCAAGCCTTGTAGTTGCCCAGCCTTGAGACCGAAGAAAGAGCCCAGAGACAGTGACAGAGACATCAAAGGCTTCTTGGGTAGGGGATCTTACACGTCTGAAGCAAAAGACCCTGGAGCGATGCCCCACCGTGTTCGGCAGGTGGGCAGGCCATGGCCACCATCTCCCTCCCTCATTTGCTATTGTCTAGATGACTTTGTATAAAACCAAACTGATGAATAGCTTTAAAGTTTAATACAACTCCCCTATAAAACTGATGGGCTGATGGTGTCTTTGTGGAAGATTAACTCATGATTTAATTTCTTTAAGTGTTATTAACTATTCAGGTTTTTTTATTTCTCCTTAAGCCAATTTTGTTCAACAATATTTTTTACATGTTTCTAGAAAGTTTAAAAATGTACAGGCATAAAGTCAGCCATATCATTCTCTACTGTCTTTTTTAAAGAACCAGCTTTTGGCCGTATTGATCTTCATTATCATATATTTGTTTTCCACTTCTTTAGTTTCTGCTCTTATTTTTATTTTCTCATTACTTCCATGTTCTCTGGACTGGTTCTGTTGTTATTTTACCAACTTCTTAACTTTGACATTTAGCTCATTAAATATCAGCCTTCTTTTCTGTCTGCACTTAAAACTATAAACTTCTCTTTCAATTCTATTTTACCTGCATCCCACACATTTTGATATATAGTATTTTCATTATCGTTCAGGTCTAAAGATGTTGTAGATGTATACTCTGATGTGTATGATTCTTCGGTATCTGGACTTTTTTTGTAATCTAGAATGTGGTCAATGTTTGTAAATGCTCATGAGTGCTTGAAAAAAATTTATAGCTTTCTAAATATATCTTTTAAATCAAACTTGCTGTTTTTTAAAAAGAAAGCAATAATGAGATACCAGTATACACCCACCAGGTTCACAAAAATTAAAAAGCTTGAAAAATAGAAAATATTGGTAAAGATGGGGGGTAAGTGAACACTTATATACTGCTGGTAGGAGTGTAATTTGCTATAACCAGCTTGGCTTTATTTTATAAAAATGCAAAGCGTGGCAGACTATGCCCCCAAAATATGCTACTTTGGCATAAGGATTATTTTGAGCTAAAGACACTTGAAAAACAGCAGATGTGAGAAGGGCCCTCTGACCTCTCCTTTTCTTCCCGAAAGCAGGAGATAAAACTCCCTTGTGAAAGATGCCTTTCTTATACCAGGAGGAAAGAAACATTCTTATCACCAGAGACAAGGAATTGAGGGCAAGAGAAATCTGTACAAACAGATCTTGTTAAAATAACTCTTATTTTCCTTTAGTGCCACCCCTCCACCATTTATTTCAGTTACTTTTCCACAACTGCTATTCTTTGTTCAACCAGGTATATAAGCACTTGGACCTATCCACTTCTGGAGTCTTCATTTTCCTATGGGGACTCCCACGTACGTGTAAAATCCTTACACTTTTTTTCCTGTTATTCTTTTTTGGGTTGATTTAATTCTCAGGCCCAGCGGAGACCCTAAGGGTAGAGATAAAGTTTTGGCAGGTGAGAATGTATGTGCCCTCAGATTCAGTGACCCTACTTCTAGATCCACACCTGAGAGACACATGGGCACACTGAGATATGCAAGAAAGTTCACAGGAACATTTTTTGTAATGGCAGATGTTCTGGGAACAAGACAAGTGTCCACCAACAGCAGTGTGGATAGATGATTGCGGCATATTTAAACAATGGCGCACTATGCAACCTGGCAACTTACAGATGCTCACAGCAAAGTGCATCAATCTCAGTAACATACAGTAAATGAAAAAAACAGACTACAGACAAACACGCCCATCCCATTTATGCAAAGCTGGAATCTCAACAGTCTAGGACTTAGGGATCCTGTGATGATGCCTGGGAGGGAAAGAGGTGTCCTCTGAGAGAGGAAAGCAGGGGAAACATGGGCAGAGGCCCGGGGTCTTCCCGGGTAATGGCTGGCCGCTTTTTTCTTTAGCTAGTGGTTAGATACACGAGTGTTTGTGGGTCATGCTTTGTTATACCTCATATATGCATGTTTTCCAAATACTCTTTTGCTGTTACTTAATATTTAATCAAAATAATTTTTAAAACTTAACAATTATAATAAAAAATTTTGTTTACCTATCCAAAAATCATCTCTGAGGAAGAATGTGACAGATATTATGCAAGGACCAGTTCATTCCATACTATCTTCCCAGGAAAGACCGAATCCAGTTATATAAAAGGACCCAAGAGGGATTCTGGAAGAAAGAAAAGAACTAATCTCAGGTGTGACCTCACCTGGGGACTCCTGAGGGCAAGGGCTGAGGCTGGGTGTCCTCGGGAAGGTCCTGCTTGAAAGAACTCCCAGGCCTAAGGATTTACAGTATGTGGGTATGGTTCCCCAAACAGGGGCTTCTGAACATAGGAAGGCTGTGGCTCCCAGATCAGGCCTGGCTGGGCCAACTGATGTGATGCGCTGAGATGAGCAAGGCCATGTGCCACACTTGCTCTTGTCAGCGATGCTCCTGGGAGTGGGAGCTCCCAGGACACTCCTCCCTGCAAGCCTGAGAGTTTCTTCCTGATCCCCTCATGGAGTTTGAGCACCAATGCCAGTCCCAAGCTTGCTGGGTGTCAGAAAGTACATCTCCACCGTTTTGAGGTCCTGCTCTTTCTTCCTCTGCTCCAGGGCTGTTAGAGGTAGAGGGCTTATGGTGGTGGGAGTGGGGTACTAAGACATCAGGAGGAGGCAGTGGTCCCTGGGGCCATCTCCATGTTCACATCCAACAGTAGTATGGTAGATGGTACAATATGAATTTTCGATTTTCTGGCAGTGAATGGTGAAGGCCTGTGTGAAGGGCTCCTTTTTCTAATTCTCGTTGGTCAACCATTCAGTGTGGCCTGTACTCTGTCTCCCTGGGCCGACAGTGGCCCTGGGACTGGGCTGGGCTCTCCTTCATACCCTGGGCCTGAGGCAGCCTCTGGCTCAGAGTGGATGTTCAGGAAGTACTCGTGACTTCCCTGGGTGGTAGCTGTGGATTCATTTATTCATTCATTCATTCACTCATGCCTAGTGTATGTCACCTAGCAACCAGAGGGAGTGACGGAAGGTTCCTGCCCTCATGGAGCTGACGTGCTGCTTGGGAAAGCCTGATATGAAACAGTTAAAGAAATAGCCAAGTGTAAGTTCTGTGAAGCGACTGTAGGACTGGGGACCACGATAGGGGTAGTTTAGCTGGAGGGGTCAGGGACAGCCTCTGTGGGATGAAACCTGAAGGAGGTGGAGGGAACAGCAGAGACAGAGGCTCTGAGGTGAGGAAGAGCTTGGCTTGTTGGAGAAGCATGTGCAGTGCAGTGTGGCTGAAGTGGAGTGAGTGAGAGCGAGTGTCTCAGGAGGCCAGGCCGGAGTGAGGCCACAGAGGGCCCAGTGGTTGTGGATTTCCCTGTAATTGCTCATGAAGAGTTCTGCTCGGGAGAACAGAGGATCAGATTCTGAATCAAAATAGATTGCTCTGGGTCTCCCACGTGGGAAGCCACTGCAATGAATGGGTTCTAAAATGAACTGCAGTCCCTGGAAGAGCAGCCAGGAGAGAATGAACAGGTTCCAGCTAGAGTGACATGTAACTTCAGGTGGCTAAGAAGAGGTCCAGGGGTCCAGTGAGGTGAGGGTCACAGTTATGGCTTGAATTGTGTCCCCGCAAAAGATATGTTGAAACCCTAGCTCCTGTACCTGTGAATGTCATCTTATTTGGAAACGGGGTCTTTGAAGATGTAATCAAGTTAAAATGAGGATGGGCCCTGAGCTGCTACAACTAGTGTCCTTTCAGGAAGAGAAGAGACACAGACACACGAGGAGAACGCGCCATGTGACAACGGCAGCAGACTCTGCAGTGGTGCAGCTACAAGCCAAGGAGTGACAGGGATCGCCGGCCACACCCGAGGCCAAAAGGCAGAGATCAGTCTCCTCCAGAGCCTTCGGAGGAAGCACGGCTGCGACACCTTGATTTCAGGCTTCCAGCCTCCAGGACTGTGAGAGAACACATTTCTGTTGTTTTCAGCCACCCAGCCCTAGGAAACCAATACGTCACTTCCCAGTGCCTGGTTGTGATTAGAGTCTCCATGGGACCCTTACAAATGCGGACCTGATGGCAGGCCTCCCCATGAATGTTTGCCCCATCGTACACCCCAAAATGCCCCTAAAGTGTTCCCAAGAGCTCACGCGCGTAAGGAAAACCTGTGGGGTGATCCCTCAAAACAGCAGTCACCTCCTGGTTTCTGGCTGAGTTCCACAGGTTCTGGGTATGACATCCCTTGTGGGATGCCCCCGGGCCCATCCTGAGTTTCCTTGGGAGCAGGATGTCACCAAGACCAAGCCAGCCTCTCTTGGCTTCCCTGGGGCAGCCTAGCTGATTGTTTTTGGCTCCCCTCGGACCTTGCCCTTTCCCTCTGCCCCAGGCCTGAGATCTGATCTCTCGCTTAAACAAAGCCCCGCGTTCATGTCAGCTTAGGAGACACAATGTTCTGAAAGCAGATCCCTGGGCCCCATCGAGGGAGCTGCTTTTGGGCTTCTGCCTTCTCAAAAGCTGCCTTTGATTTGGTCCCTCCTGCCCCACCTCCAAGCCCTTTCTCGATGGAAATTAAACTCTTCTGAACTTTAAGGCCCTTCTGCTGCTGCTCCCAGCGGGACTGGAGCCACCACCGGCTAGTAACTCTACCCACAAGGTGAAGATTTATTCTGGTTGGAGGTGCAGTTTCATCCTGACACGCAAAAAACAAGTCGATGAGAACGTGGGCTGAAGAGCCAGAGGACCTGGGTTCAAGTCCCAGCTCTGGCACTTGCTGGCTGTGTGAACTTGAGCGGTGAATTCACCCTCCCTGTATCTGGATTTTTGCCTTGGTGAAATAAGGGCATCCATACCTCCGTTGTGAGGATTCTGTGGGAGTTCAGTTATTGGAAAGCTTTTTTATTTTTCTTCAGGAAGTGCCTGTTTTATAGATGAGAAGTTTGGAGGCCTGAGAGGAATTGGGACTCCTCAGGCTTCTGAACCATTCGAGGTGGGTTCAGTCCCTCCTGCAGGCGTAGACCAAGGTCCAGCTGTGCTGTGTGAAGTTTTCGCAAGCCCTTAGCTTTGGTGCATGTGGGAGGAACCTAAAGGCCAGCCAGGAGCTTCCCTGACTGCTCCCCTCTCTTTGTGGCCGCCCTCCTGTGCCCTGGGTCCTCTGTGTTCCCCTCATCAGAGCACCCGGCACTGGCCCTGTCATTGCTGGTGACTCATTTCTCTCCTGCTGGGTTGTGTACCCCTAGGGCAGGGCCTGAGTCCTGTTCACTGGCCTGTCTCTGGTGCCTGGGACCCTGGGACCCAGTAGGTGCCCAGTCAACATTTGTTGAGTGAATGATGAACAATCAATGAGGGATTTTGCATCTGGCCAGGAAACTGTGCAGGTGGAAAGTCTCTGTGTGCGTGTGTGTGTGTGTGTGTGTGTGTGTGTGTGTGTGTGTGTGTGGTGGGCAGGTGGAAGTGGGGTGGGGAATCCGGGAATTTGGGTCAGAACCTTAAAACCATTGGAAGGAAAGGAGGGGATGTGTGGGAAGAGTGGAGGGACCCAGGCCATGTCCTTCCCACTAGCCCGAGGTTCTGTGTGGATCCTCCGTGAGCTTGGCCCTCAACCCCACCCTCAAGTCACTTCCATGAGGACCCAGACTCCCTCTCTCCTTCCCTTCCTTCCTCAGTTTGTTGAGCATCTACTATGTGCTAGGTACTGGGGACACAGTGGGGAGTCAAACATTACACTCAATCTCCCTTCCCTCAGGGATAAATCATAGAACTAAGTATGAAATTGCAACAGTGGTCAGCGCAGTAGAGAGCGCTTTGAGAGCCTAATGGGTTTGTCCTAGTCTACAGGAGAGCGGTGGTGCAATGGGGTCCCCGCAGGAGTTTTATTCTCTTCTGATCTCCCTGGCCCCTTCCCAGCTACCCCTACTAATCCTCCAGATTTAGTAAAACCTGTGGACCTAGTTATGCAAACGCAGCTCTGAGACAAGCTTGCCCCTTTCCATGCTTATCTTAGCCCCTTGTCCTGTGTGGACATTTGAGGTCCATGCAGGGAAGGCTTCCTAGAAAAAGTGTCACCTGAGCTGGCATCTTTCTTTCTTTCTCCTTCAATGTCTTCCCCTCCCCAGCTGGACTTCCAGCCGTAAAGACACACGGGGAAAGTTTCAGTCTTGGAAAAGGTGATTGAAGGGCTTTAAGTGATGGCATTGTATAAGTACAACACTCCTGCCTCTAGGCAGACCTAACCAGAGCCTGTGCACAAACCTCCAATGGCAGAGGGGGAGATGGATTTCCATCCCTATGAACCCATACACTCATTGCTTTTGTGCAGTGCCCAACCTGTATATCTGTTCAGGCAATTCTTGAACCCAGCTTGGGGAAGCCAGGGGCAGAGGAGAATTAAAGCTCCATTAGGTGGCCCTGGGGGACAGGAAAACTGTGCCCTTTTCCTGCTTCCAAAGGTCACTCCGCCTGCCTTCAAATGCTCCTTTCTGCTGCGCAGGGCGATGAATCCTTGGGTGTCGCTCATCCATGACGTGGGCATGGCAGCCTCTGCCTTGCTGGGCTGGGAGGGCTGGAGGGAAGCATGTGAAAGCACCCAGCATGGGGGCTGGCAGGGTCAGTGCTCAGAAACTGCTATCCCTCCACCTCATCTTCCTTCACACCTTGTGATGGAATGTCTGTCAGGTGTGCAGTCACAACTCAAACAACACACACCGGCCCTAAGAACACTTACAAGAGCAGGTGGGCAGGTGCTGGACCTGGAACTCAGGGAAGGGCTGGATGTGTGGATAGCAGTTGGGAGCGCCTTCCAGGCAGCCGCTGGTGTGAGTGAAGCCTGAGAGGCTGGAGGGATGCTGGGAGGTCAGGGCTCAGCGAGGAGCAGACCTGTTTTGGTGGGGGTGAGGAGAGGGCCTCCTGACAACCTTCTCTTGTCCTCAAGCCTCCCATTCTGAGTCCTTTGGGAAGCCAGTGGTGGACTCCCCATGGTGCTGAGGAGTGGGGCGCTTGGCCTCCTTCCCACTCAGAGAAGCAGTCTGAGGCGGTGGGCAGAGAGGGGGCGATGGGTTAGTGCGGATGGCAAGGGCCTCCTAACACGGTCCCCCCGCCCTGCTCAGCTGGGGGCTGGTGAGCAGGAACCCTCCCTGGGGCTGGGGCTGGGGGGACCCCTCCATCACTGGTGGGGATAATTGTTTGGGGAGCCAGTGGAGCCCTGCCAGATGTGTGCCTTTTGGGCTCTATAAGAACGAACACTCCCTTCCAGGCCATTTATCAAATTTAGCCATCTCTCCCATATTTTTTCCCTTTTGTTTCAGCCAAGGAAACTTTCTTCTAATGAAGATGAATGCAAAGCACTGAGCATCTTGGCAAACATCAACAGAGTCGGTCAGGGAAGTGAAAACCCTGGGTGGTGCTGAGTTTGGAGAAATATTTCAGAGAGTGCTAAGTGTCCTAGCCCTCAAGGGGTGTCTGAGGCCCGTGGGAGTTGCTTTTCCTGGACCCCTTGATGCCCAAGGACCTGCCACCTCACTGTCGCAACGACTTAAAACAAGGCTCCATCCAGGACATGTTGCCTGCATTCATCTCTCTAGAATCAATGCATGCCCAACTGGCCAATGTTTGCAGCTTCTGGAATGTTCCAAACAGATACATTTCTTCCATGTATTGAAAATGCCTTCATTTGATCCTTGCAAAAATCCTGAGTGTGGCTTGGGTACCTACTTTGTAGATTAAAAAATGCTGAGTTCAAGGGAAGTTCATAACTTGCCCAGGATGAATAGAAGCAGCAATGTCTGTGTTTTGACTCTTGGCCCAGCACTCTTTCTGCCTCACCCTCAAACTTTTCAGTTTCTTCCCATTCTCTCTGTTTACACCATGGTCAGAGACACCACCATCACCTCTCCCTCTGGGTGGGGCATTATGATCAAATGCCCAGCATCCATCTTCCCCTCTCACATTGAGTTTTGGGAGGATGACATTGGGGGATTGATCTCCAGCCCCAAGGGGTCTCTGGTTGGCCTCAACCAATCATATGGTCCCACTTCCATCATTTGCCAGCAGCAGGTCCAGGATTCCAGGCGAAGCCAATGCCCTTGGCATTCCCCAGGGGAAAAGGACTGCTTCAGGAATGGGCATGTGACAATCTGAGCCAATGAAATTCAAGAAAACCTTGGCTGTGGGTTTCTAGAAAAAGTCCTGGAGACATTACTGAGCCATTGGATTTCCACTTAGGGAACCCAGTACATTTCCTTATTGTTTTGACCAGGTGGGGTTGGGTTTTCCACTCCTTGCAGCAGACAGCATTGTAAGTGAAATCCAAGTTACAGGGATTTCAGCAGCCATCTCCAACCTAGAGTCCTCACACCCAGTCCCCTTGCTGCAGCTGGAGATGGTCTTGATGCTCATCTGACCAGACAGCCCCGTCTCTACTGTCACATGGGCTGTTCCCACCTATCATTATTTGCCTGCCTGTCAGTCTCCCCAACTAACAGAGAAGGCTGTGAGGGCAGGGACCATCCCTTTCCATCCCTGGCTCAGTTCCCAGCACAGGGCAGCAGGTACCCACTTAATAGTCTACTGTGGAAGGCTGGGGCTGGAGAGAATGAAGATGCAGTGGATAGAGTTAGGTACCAGGAGAGAGTGCATTTAATGGGCAGGAGTCATCTCCAAGGTGCAGCTCCATCCCCTCGTCATGGTGCTGGGGAAGGAGCTCCATGGCCTCTCTGTATGCCTGGAGCTCCCAGGCATTGCAGAAATGCCCTGGTCCTGGCTGCATGGCCCTGTGCAAGCCCTTCCTCTCTCTGGCCTCAGTCTTCCCAGCTGTTCAATGGGGAGGGGATTGGGCCACATCACCAAGGGTTTTCCAGAGCTGTTATGTTATGACTACGATTAAGCCATAATTATGGGAGGGGGTCTGGGGATCTCCTGAGGACACTAAGGTGAACTTTATGGGACAAGCCAGTGGGAGAATAAATGCATGGGTGATGAGGATTATATTCCACATAGCAGGCCTGTTACACATCACACAAAGACCAGTGGGGCTGTTGCCTCCAGAAAGAGAGAGAGAGGTGGGCATGTTGGGGGTTGGGTGGGGTTGGGTGGGGTTGGTCCACAGATGGAGGACTCTCCAGAGGGGGCCTGGCCTGGGCTTGCTCACAGCCTTTCCTCCAGGCTGGCTCACCACTGACCAGCTGGGGGAAGCACGTTTGCTGGATTTCAGCTTTTACATCTGCCATTGGGTGTGATATTGAGGCCCTCATTGGCTCAAAGGAAGGGTTGTGAGGCTCAGGAGAGGACGCAGGTATGAGAGAATCCAATTCAGGGAGAGACAACATGGACTGAGTGCCTGTTTTGTCCCAGGCATGACATCATTTAGGTTTTACGATAATCTGAGGAGGATTATTATCTTTTGTTTACTAAGGTAGAATCTGAGACTCAGAGAGGTGCGGTGACTTGTTCAAGGTTACAGAGGATGTGGAGGGACTGACTCAGGCCTGTTTGACTCTATAGATCATGTTCCCAGTCACTGTACCCTGCTGCCTTCTCCCTGGGAGGGCTTTCCCGGGGCAGGAGAAGGGCTTGGCCCAGCAATAGGTTGGGCTTTCAACCTGGGACGAGTTCTGACTGACCGGTATGGGAGGGGGATGCTGTGTTGAGGACTCTGAAGCTGTCTAGACTTACTGGGAAAGTGTGCAGGGATTGACTGTGATGTCTGCCACGGATGAAGAAATAGGGAGAGGTAGTACATGAGCTATACTTTCCCATTCCTGGGCTAGACCTTGTTAGGGTCTTTTCTAGGCCTGGGATGCTGGCTTCCAAGATGACTCCCTGCCTTCATATTCAGCACAGATAGGATCTAGAGGCTGAGCTCATTCTCCTCTGGGAGAGGAAGAGTGTTCCTGAAAGAGGGGATTGGCTGGGGCCAGGGCTCAAGGCTTGGCCGGGAAGGCAGCTCTGGGACTCCCAGGGGCTGTGTCAGATCATCGACCTGCCCTGACGGCAGGTGACCCACACTGACCCCTGCAGGCAGGAGTGAGCATTGCAGGGGGGGAGCGAGGGCGGGGAGCGACGGCCCCAGAATATCGAGCTTTTAGGGTAAGGCTGTTGAGAATGCTGAGGGAAGGCAGGAGATTCCAGGCCCGACTCCGCATGTGAAACAATGGGAGGTGGGAAGCAGAGGCCAGCACTAGGAGGTCCCTAGCGGTTATCTAGCCCAACACTCCCATTTTGCAAATGGAGAAACTGAGGTCCAGAGTGCTTCCTCCCCGATGTGTTTTTCTTCAAATTTAAAAAATGTGGAATGGGCTGGGTTGGCAGAAAGTTTGGAGTCAAGCAGAAGGGAATTAAAATCCTGCCCTTTTTCCCACTAGCTGCATGACCCTGGCTAAGAAATCACGTCTTGCCTCTGAGCCTTAGTTCCCTGCCTTTAATGTAATAGGTCATCACGGGTTGGCTGAGGATTAGAGCCCCCGTGTGTATCGGGCCCTCTGGGTGTCAGGCAGCGTGATAAGTACTTTACCGGCATTATCTCACGGAACCTCCCATGAGACGGGTACCAGCCCCACTTTACAGGTGAGAAGCTGGGATCCAGAGGGGCTTAGTTCCTCACCGCAGTTATTAGGAGGAAGAGCTGGGAGCTGGGATCGCAGTCCCGGCCAGTGTAGGCTGTGGGCATGTACCAGAATCCCCCGGGAGCCGGTGAGTAAACTCAGATTCCCCCTCCCTCCCCAGAGGCTCGGACCTGGGAGGTCTGGGTGTGCCCTGAGAAGGCGACTGTTAAACAAGGCCCCCCCACACACACCCCATCTTTAACGCTGAGGCAGGGGGTCTACAGACCTTATTTTCAGAAATGCTGCACTGGCTGTGCTGTCTATAACCACCCCCTTCCCAGTGGAGATCCCAGACTTAGAAGGTGATGGATAATAATATGAAGAGAATTCTATTAACAACAGATTAGAGCTTGTATATAGCCCACTATGTGCTAGGCACTCTTTCAAACACTTTACATGGTTCTTTTAATTCTCACAGCAAGCCTCTGAGGTCGTGGCTACTATTGTCCTCACTTCACAGACGAGGAGCTGAGTTACAGAAATCGGTAGCAATTGGTTGGCCAACTTAATTACAAGGATGGTTATTTTTTCTCTGGCTCCTGCATCCACCTGGGCCAGGCTCCCCCGGCGCTCGGGGAGGGGCGTCAGGGAGCCTGTATGCAGGGCAGTAAAGAGGTGTGTGTGTAGGGAGCCTGAGCGGCTGGGCAGCCCAGGTCTGTTTCAGAGATGGAGAGATCAGACTCCAGCCTTGCCCTGAGCCTCAGCCAGGTTTCTAGATGCAAATCTTAGCTGTGAGCTCAGGGAGGGAGGCCGGCGGGCAGTGCCCGGCTGAGGCTCCAGGGAGCCGGCGGGCAGTGGGTGAGGGCTCCCACCTGGCTGATGCAGCCTCCCTTCCCGTGTCCAGGGCCCCAGCAGGATCCTCAGGGGCTCCTACCTTCTTCCTCTGGGCAGCTCCCATGGCACGAAGAGGGCGCCTTGCCTGGGGGTCCTCACTGCGGTGCTGTCTCAGGAGCCGGGGCCCGAGGGGTTCCCTGGGCCAGCGCCCCCCGTCCTCCGGCGGCTCATTCTTCTCAGGCACAAAGGCGGCTTTCACAGCTGCTCCTAAGCCGGCAGCTCCTCAGACAGGCTTAGGGTGATTGATCCTGACCGAGGGGCCCGGTGTCCCCGGGCGGCCACATGCCCTCCTGGGGTGCCTGTGGCTTCTCACCTCCTGCACCCCTGCCCCTCTCTGGAGGGGACACTGAGGCAGCCGGGGTCGGGGAGAAGCAGAGCGGTCCTCTGCCCTCTGTAGCCGGCAGCTCGGCAGGCGGGTGACCTCTGGCGGCCCGGCGGGCAGGCCTTGACCTTCTCGCCCGCAGACAGGCCCAGACGGTGGAGGCTGCCTGGGGCGGCCGGGGCGGGGGATCGGGCGGGCTTGTGTGGGGATGTGACCTTCAGGCTGCTCAGCCCCATTAATAATAGATCTCAGAAGACACTCGGGGCCGGGGCTCTCCCCGAGCAGAGACGCTGCGAGCAGAACACTTCATTCACTGGGGCGGCTGTCCAGGCAGGGCGGCTGGTCTGGGCTCGGGCCAGGAAAATACCTTGGCGGCCGGCTTCCAGGCTGGGAGCCAAGCTCTCAGCGTCCCCCCGCAGTCACCCTCCTCCTCACTTCCACCCCTTTCCCTCTGCTTGTCGCCAGCCTGGAGCAAGATTCAGGCTGGAGTCACCTTGGAGTCACAGCTCTGTTCCTCAAGTGATTTGACCTCTGAGCCACAGGTTCACCTGCGTGCGTGGGGTCATATAACCACAGCGCACGGGGCTGCTCTGGGGGCTAGAAGGGAAGGTGGGTGCAGCTGAAGCCATCGTCTTGTTACAGCTTAAATCAGATCCCGTCATTCCCTGCTTTATAAATCTTCCTCTTGACCAAAGCGGACTGACAGTGGTCCCACCCAGTGGGGCTGTGAGGGTGAAATGAGGTAAATCACGTAAAGCTCTGAGCAGAGGATTTGGACAACAACAATTCTCCATAGACTTTAGATGCTGCTGTTATCATGCTGTTAATAATTCCAGTGATTAACTCACTGCCCACCGCCAAGTCCCGGGTAACCAGTTTGATTGCAGTGATGATTTATGACACAGATGATTTATGAAATGGCAGTTGGTGGTGAAGAGTCAAGGATTAGGTATTCTAGATCCAACTTTGCCCATAGAATGGAATCCCCCCTGGTCCATGAGGTCTGATTTATCAAGTGTTGCTTGCCTCTTGGACTTCGTTTCCCACACCCCTATCTCCCTGACAGTTCCTGATCTTACCACTTTCCCCTTCACCTCAGGACCTTTGCACTTGCTGCTCTCTCTGCCTGAAATGTTTCCCATCTCTCTCCCTGACTCCATTTTTTGCTCTTCGCATGATTCTTTCCTCTTTATCCTTCAGGCTCAATTATCACCTCCTCAGAGAAGCCTTCCCTGATTCCTTATTACAAAGTAGCCTCCTGGGCTCTCTGTTTATTATTTATTATAGCACTTGTCAGAAACTGAAATGATCCTATTTCTGTGTTTATTGTTTGTTTTCCCTACCTGAATGGCAGCTCCACAAAGGCTGGGACCTGGTCTGTCTTGTTCATCAGTTTACCCCCTGGGTCTAGAATAGCGCTTGGCATGTTGCAGTCACTCGGTAAATACTGGTGGAGCAGATAAATAAATGAAGGAGGATTAGATGAAATAGTCTAAGTATGTAGAATGCTTAACACAGCCCTGACTCCCCACAAGTGCTCCCTGTATGGCAATTATCGATACTGTCATTGTTGTTGCTGTATTTCCCCCAACACCTTTGCCCGCTCCAGCCAAGCAAAAGTGTGGTTTCTTCCTTCTGCTGCTTCTCCTGGTCCAGCCCCTGCCTCAGTTGCTCCCCGTTCCTTTTCTCCCTGTTCCAGTCATGGCTGGGCACAGTTTCTGATTTCCTGCAGTAAGCAGAGCATCCACGAAATTGGAAAGAGCGGTGACTAAACTAGCAGTCAGCCAGAGCAGTAAAAATGCCGTAAGTCACCCCTGAAGATCAAACTCCTTTGTCAGCCATCCCATAATTATCCACTGGCTTGGCTCTTGGTGGGATGGGAAGAGAGAAAAGGAATTTTATACATTTATTAATTTTTCCCCATCTGCTTGGAGTCCTGCTGAAATACGGCTTACGAGCCACACGGAAGGCCTGCCTGACTGGAGGCCTTGATTGGCTGAAGGTCTGAAGCCCGGCTCCTGGCAGGATGTGGGTCTGAAATGCAACCTTTGGACCCCGTGCCATGGGTAGGAGGAATGAGGGTTGTGGCCCCAGAGCCCAGCTCAGGGCCTGACACCGGGGAGATGCTTGCTATACAGACACACATGATTGATGGAATGACGGTTGGTGGCGAAAGGTCAAGACTAGCTGCTCCAGATCCAGCTCTGCCGGGTCTCACTGTGTGGCCTGGGCACAGCTCTTAGCTTCTCTTTCTTCATCTGCAAAACGGGGATAAACTTCTGCTCCTTCCTGACCCACAACCTTGTGGAGACAAGCAAGAACTGCAAAATGTGGGAGCGTTTTGAAAAGAGGAGTTCCAAATCTCTCAAACCCAGCCCTCTCCATCATTCCCAAAGAATGATGGTAGACGGTGAGACTCTTAACTCAGAAGTTCTGAGCAGTTTTCAAATGTCTTCAGAGGCATGCAGGAGGAGGAGGAAGGGGAGGGGGAGTAAAAGGGGGAAGGGTACAGGGGGACAGGAAACACTGTTTACCTCAGAGTAGTTTTAGGGCAAGTGTTTCTGAAGAGGAGTCTGTTTCCTATAGTGATAGAGATAGACTGGAATTCCAATCTTTATTCTGAGGCTCCTTGGCTGTGTGACTTTGGACAAGTTACTTGACCTCTCTGAGCCTCATTTTCCTCATGTGTAAAAGGAATATCAAGCATCCCCACCCCAAGGGGCTGTGAAGATGAAATGAGGTAATTCATGTAAAGCTCTGTGCAGAGCATATTTGGACAACAGCAATTCTCCATAGAAGTCAGGTACTACTATTATGACGCTGCTAATGATAGTGGTGTTAAGTCCACTGCCCATTGGTAAGTCCCAGGTAACCAGTCCACTAAGCACAGCACCTTTCCCAAGAACTGGGTGACCGCAGGGAAACCTTACCACCCTTCCCTTTCTATCTTGGGCTGCCACCTACTGGCGGGGATCAGAATTACAGCTACTGGAAAGACCTCTCTGTGGCTTAGGGAACAGATACACCCCCTCCCCTCACGGCCCCATCCTCACTCCGGCGGGAGAGCAGTGGCATGTTGGTGGGCAGCGGGTAGGGAAATATAAGACCCAAATTCCGAGGTCATGAGTACCTTTCAGAGATTCCTGAAGGCTTGTCCACCCCGATGATGAGAAAGTCAGTCCCCAAGTCTGGTCCATTTTATTTCCTGAATATCCCTGAGACTGGTCCCCTTTTTCCATCCTGTCTCCTGGCCAAGCCACCACCCTCTCTCCCTGGATGATACAGCAGCTTCCTCACTGGCCTTCCTGCCTCCACTCCCTTCTCCATACATCACCCAGGAGGAATTTCTTAAAAACTGCATATCCGATCATGTCGACCCCAGCTTAAATCTCTCATTGTGTCCCCAGGGCTCCTGGGCAAAGTCTGAGACCCTTTGGCCAAGCCCACGGGCCCTTTGGGCTCTCAGCTCTGCCGCTCAGCCCTTGGGTCCCACCCTCTGCCCCTTGCAGGCCTGGTTCATGCTCTTGCTTCACCTGCACACACCTCCCTCCCCTCTGCCTGGTGAACTCTGACACACCCCAAGCCTCACCGTGGTTGCTGCCTCCTCCAGGGTGCCTTCCCTGCTCCTGCAATCTTTTCCCCAACATAGTCCTTATCAAGCCATATTGCCTCTTGATCTGTGTGCCTCCTAGGCTACGAGCAGGAGCCGTGCCTGGTTTTCTTCCCCAAGGTATCCCCAGTAAGTACCCAGTTCCTGACACATAGCAGGTGAGCAATAACTTTTTGCTGAGTGAGGAAACTGACTCTTAGTGGGTAATAGACTCAGCGTTACGGACTCAACTCTCTACAGCTGTTTTTTTTGGACTCTCTGTCCTGCCCCAATCTCAAACTGACCTGGGGGGCCCTACAGTGGCCACAGTGCCCTGAAGATGACGTTGAGATGGGTGTTTGCCACTTTGTGATGCCCGCCCCAGCGAGGCCCGGGGTGGCCTCGAGAAGTGACGTTTAAGGACATTGCCTGCAGGCAGGGTGGTCTTGTCTCTCAGCCCAGGCCTGTGCTCAGTCCCATCCAGCTGGCCACGCCCACTGCCTCTCCTAGGATGGGTCCCCCAGAAGCTGACTTTGGGATGAGGATCTCATGCCGGTGATTTATTAAGGACTGGCCCCATGGGGGGGACACAGGTAAGGGAGTGGGGGAGCAGAGGATGGGGAAGTGGAAGCAACTGAGCAAAGGGACACTTCCAGGCAAAGTCCCAGCTTCAATTTGAGTCCACAGGGAACTCTGGAGTATAAATTACGCCTCATGGTTGTCCTGCCCCAAGACCAGAAGCTGGGCTTTCACATTCCCAGCCAGGCAGTCATTAGCTATGGACCATCCCGGGCTGATGTGATCTCTGGCGCTTCCTGGCCTCTCTTTTTTTTTTTTTTTTTTTTTTTATTTAATTAATTTTTGGCTGCGTTGGTCTCCCTTGCTGCACGCGGGCTTTTCTCTAGCTGTGGCAAGCAGGGGCTACTCTTCGTTGCAGTGCGCAGGCTTCTCATTGTGGTGGCTTCTCTTGTTGCGGAACACAGGCTCTAGGCTCGCGGGCTTCAGTAGTTGTGGCACACAGGCTCAGTAGTTGTGGCGCACGGGCTTAGTTACTCCGCGGCATGTGGGATCCTCCCAGACCAGGGATCGAACCCATGTGCCCTGCATTGGCAGGTGGATTCTCAACCACTGCGCCACCAGGGAAGCCCCCTGGCCTCTCTTCTTTGCTCCTGGGAGCAAAGAAGTTTCAAGGAGCCCAAGGGCAGTTCTCCCAAGAAGAGTGCAGACTGACCAGTCTCAGCACAAGCTGGGAGAGAGGACATGGGTGGGGCACCAACCTTCTCGCTGTGCTGCCCTTCCAAGCTCCCCGTCTCCAGGAGACCCTTCCCCGATTCCCTGATTCATCCTGTTGACGTTTTCTTTTCTTTTAATATTTATTTACTTATTGGTTGCCTGGGTCTTAGTTGCGGCTGGCAGGCTCCTTAGTTGCGGCTTGCCATCTCCTTAGTTGCGGCATGTGGGCTCGTTAGTTGCGGCACGCTGGATCTTTTTTAGTTGCTGCATGCGGACTCTCAGTTGCAACTCGCTGGCTTCTTAGTTGTGGCATGTGAACTCTTAGTTGTGGCATGCAGGTGGGATCTAATTCCCTGACCAGGGATCAAACCTGGGCCCCCTGCATTGGGAGCAGAGTCTTAACCACTGCGCCACCAGGGAAGCCCCCACCCCCCGCCCCCACCATTGACATTTTCTTCCTTCTTTAAAGTGTTGTGCAATGCAGCTTCTAAAAAAGTACCACAACCAGGTGGTCCTTTTTAAAGGGTGGCCCCTGCTGAGAGCTCTGCCTAGCCCTGTTCCTGGCTATGAACTCACTTTAGCAGTCTTTTTGGTTCTCTTTTAATTTTATAAGGTATTTTTGTTTGTTTTAAAGAAAAAAAATCCAAAATACAGAAGTCGTGTATGGTAATCATGGAAACTGCCTGCACCTTCATCCCCAGAGAGGGTATCTGGCCAGATGTTTCCCCAAACATCTTATATACATATTTTCTTCTTTGACTTCTGGTGATGTGGCTATTTTATCTTATTTAATGTCCACAAGCCCCTGAGAGACTGATACCCTCCCCGCACGTCTCAAAGGAGAACTGTGGCTCAGAGAGGTGACGTGACCTGCTCGTGTCCAGCTAGCAGGTAGCAGGGCCAGCGCTCAGAGCCGGGCCAGCCTTTCTGTCCGGCCATGCTGCCTGCGAGGTGTAACTACCCATTAGAATGGAAGTGAGTCAGCTAAGAGAAACTGAGGGGCTTGGTCGGGGTCCAGGGCCTTCAGAAGCACCCTCCAGGACTGACCAACTGGTCCTGGGGGTCAGGAAGGAAGGGCTCTGGGGTTCAGGGGCAGCCCTTTGTCAGCATGTCAGGTGTGGGAGGAGGGTCCTGCCACTTGGAACAGAAAGGCAGGAACGGAGCAAATCCATTTGCTCCCAGTGCTGTCAAGCGTTACATGGATGTGGGCGTCTGTGTAAGTGGTCGGGGTGGGGGGGCTGCCAGCAAACTCACCCCTGAGAATGAGCTACTGTGCTTGGGGGAGGAGGGGTTATGGAATCGGCAGGGCGGCTGGCTGGGCGCCTCCTGCTGACTTCCGGAGTCAAGCCTGCTCAAGGCCCTCTTAGCCGGCCATGATCATGGATCTTGACCCCAGGAGACTGCAGCCCCTGTCCCAGCCTGCCATGGCCCCTGTCACAGGTGCCCACAATCTGTCCTTCTCTACCCCAGGCCCTCTTGGCCCGTTTGAAGCCCTGCCTGTCCCCAGAGCTTGGTAACTGTGAGCCCCATGTGCCAGCGGAGTGCACAGGATTTCAGCTTCTGCTGTCCCCCTGCTTGGGGCGTTTGCACTTGGGGCCTGGGCATCTTCTCCACGAGCCTTGCAGTCTCCCTGGTACATACTCCAGGAGCCCGAGTACCGGTGTTTTCTGCTCCCATGCCCCCTCCCAGGATTTGGTCTGCCCCCTGCCCCCTGCCCTTCTCAGAGACCCCAGGCTGGGTCTTACCACCATATCCCTTGGGCCTCACCACTTCAGTGGCCTCCAGCAGCTGGTATTGACATCTCTCGGCCAAGGACTCTCTTCAAAGGCAAGAAGGCCACTCTTTCCCACACAGGTCAGACCAGAAGGGCCCAGGAATTCACATCAGCCCCAACACCAGCAGCCCTCCAACGATGGCCGATGGGAGTTGGTGTATAAATACCCCAGCTCCCTCACCTCTGACTGAGATCTCTGAGGTGTGTGTCCTACACCGATTCCTAAGGGTCCCCCGTGGGATTAAGTTCCACTCACCCACAGCAGTAGCTGAGTCGACAACACACCCCTTCTTGGCTGCCTTCTCTTTCCTGTCTTACTTTCCCATCTGCTATGGGTGTTTTCTAGAATCACTTCCCAAATAAACGACCTGCACTCGAATCCTTACCTTGGGGCTGCTCCCGAGGGAACCCACACAGAGACAGCCAGGATGTTTTTCCCCGAAGCCTTTCGGTCTGCCTGTTCCTTGCGGCCTTTCTCAGATCTCCTTGCTTCCCCCTCTCCAGATCTGGATTTTCTCCAGCTCTCATTCAAACAGCAGGTGAAGACAGTGTTCTCTGCGTCTGGTCCTCTGGCTGTCTCTGTTCCTGTGGATCTTACACCTCACACTGGGGGCCAAGGATTCTTTCACACCTAAAAGAAATCCCTATGAAGCCGACCTCCTTTCTAGCTGCTTAACCAGGTGCTTGAAGCCGTCACCAACCTGTTGGAACTTGTGGCCGAGCAGACTCAGTCTAGACCACTTCCACCCCAGGGGAAATGCTGCACATCAAGGGGTGGGAAAGTTTGTTCAAAATCATCAGAAATAAAATTTAATTGTGCTCAGGTGCAGGCAGTCCGTCCTGTCCTTCCTTGGGAGCGACAGTCAGCAGTCCGTGAAGGAAAGCACACCTGTTCTCTCCACAGACAGCCGGCTCCGGAAGGGCTCTGAGGCTGGCCACCTCCGGGTAGGAGGCCTCCACCCAGGGGGGGCTTTGTTTCCAACGGGGGAAGCGTGCAGGGTACTGGAGGACCCTCAGCACTTTCCACTTCCGTTCCCAATCCCCTCTCCTCGTCCGCTGGCCATCTCCTCCTGTCAGTCCGGCTCGCAGTGAGCCTGGGCTCTGACTCCTAAGTCAGGCAGGAGCATCCTCAGGCCCTGGCCCAGGAAGAGCCACAGCCTCCCTAATGTACCTTCTGGGGCACGCAGCCCTCCAGCTCCAGCAGCTCCGGCCAGCCGTCGTATTTATTCATGTCTGGGTTGTTCTTTAAGAACTAGAGAGACAGAAGAGAGACGCTGACAATGTTAGGACTCACGCCTGCATTTGCGTTGTGCTTTAAAACCTAAATGGCTTCACTTCATCCTCGCCACTGCCCCATGAGGGGCATGGGAGGGTTGGATATTTCCAGCCCATTTCACAAATGGGTAAACTGAGTCTGGGGAGGGCAACTTGCCCAAGGTTTCAGAGATGAGATCAGAGCCTAGTCACTGCCTGTCACGCCCTGGACAGGGGTGGGGCTGGTACCAAGCATGTGGGGAGTGGTGCTTGAAGAGCTTTAGCCCCTCTAGGACATCCCAAATGATAATAATAATAAAAAGAAGAAGAAAAAGAAGCATCCTAGCTGCAAACTATTGTGTGTAGAATGGATAAACAGCAAAGGTCCTACTGTGTGGCACAGGGAACTATATTCAATATTCTGTGATAAACCATAATTGTAAAGAATATTAAAAAAAGAAGGTATAGAATGTATATGTCTAACTGAATCACTTTGCTGTACAGCAGAAGTTGACACAACATTGTAAATCAACTACACTCCAATAAAAAAAGGAAGCATCCTAGCAATTCATGAATGCTTGCTCTGTGCCAGGCACAAAGCACCTCCTGTAATGAATCCTCACAATGGCCCTAAGAAGTGCTCGCTGTTATCATCTCACCTTACGGATGGGGAAACGGAGGCACAGAGAACCAAAGTAACTGCCTATGGCTACCCAGTTGGTAAGTCGTGGAACCACTGTGTAATATTAATTAATATTAATAATAAATGTATAAAGAGAATAAAATCAGTTAAGATTGTGTTTAAAATGCTCAGGCTTAACTTATGGAAAAAAGAATGTAAATGATAAAATCTACAGGTGGGATAACTGTGGCTAACCCTTAGGAAGGAAAAATAAATTCTAGATGCTGCTTCTCTGAAACCCTGTTCCCCATGTGGGAGAACAAAAGACAGAATGGTTTTAATCACATCGGGGGTCTTTGGTTCATTTTTGGGTGATGGGTTGCAGTCAGCTGATCATAGACATCAGGCAAAAGGTGGTGCTGACTCTTCTCTACTTACGTGCTCCTCTCTGCTGTAATTGGCCCAGTTTTGTTGGGTCTGGAAGCTGCGCTTTAAGGTAGAACAGCGCCCGCCCTGCCTCTTCCTAGAGAGTCCTGCCCCTGACACCTTCCAAAGGGACATTCTGGAGCCCCAGGCCCCTGTCCCCTGTGTCCTTCACCCAGAGGGTATAATCAGAGGGTCCTCTCCTTTTCTCCTTTAGCACGAGCTACTTTGCAATATTCCTTACTTAAAAAAAAAAATTTATTATTTTTGGCTGCGTTGGGTCTTCATTGCTGCATGTGGGCTTTCTCTAGTTGTGGTGAGCGGGGGCTACTCTTCGTTGCAGTGTGCGGGCTTCTCATCACAGTGGCTTCTCTTGTTGCAGAGCACGGGCTCTAGGCGCGCAGGCTTCAGTAGTTGCGGCATGTGGGCTCAGTAGTTGTGGCTCGTGGGCTCTAGAGCACAGGCTCAGTAGTTCTGGTGCACAGGCTGTTGCTCTGCAGCATGTGGAATCTTCCTGGACCAGAGTTCGAACCTGTGTCCCCTGCATTGGCAGGCAGATTCTCAACCAGTGTGCTACCAGGGAAGCCCTGTTCCTTACTTTTTAAAAGTAATTTCTAATTACCTGAATATATTCACTTGGAAACACACACATACAAACCAGGTCAGCATTTTCCAGACAAGGCAAAACCCCTTGCAGCCCACTCTAGCCTCACCCCCACCTCCCTGGAGCTCAGCACGAGGCTTCTTGACTGTCCCTTTTCTGCCTCCCACAGCCCCTCCCCCTCCAGGCTGCTGGGTCTCTTGTCTGATTATTGCATTGGCTTCCTCCCTGCCTTCTGACTTGAGCCCCTTTCATAGTGCTCTCCATGCACAGGCAGGGAGGCCATTCTAAAAGTATGAGGACAGGAAGTCCTTGGGGAAGCCGCAGACCTGGATGAGAAATGCATCCCTATCACTGAGCAAGCTGGTTAAAACTTCTCCAAGGCTCTGGATCCTTGTCTGTGAGATGGGATGGATGCTCACTGTACCTACCTCGTTGTGGGTTAAATAAGATCCTGCAGGTCACTTGCTCAGCTGCGCCTGCACAGAGCGAGCACTTGCTGAATACTAGTCTTTCTTGTAATCAATATGATCTGGTCACTCTCCCGCTTAAGCCTACCATGGCTCCCCATTGCCTCCAGGACAGAGTTCCCTTTCCTCACTGGTCCTATATATGTCTGAATCATTGAGCCTTAGCTTCCCGCCTTGGATCTGGGCAGAGCTGAACGTTCTCACCACCAGAGACTGGCCAACTTCATGCTGGGGAAGCCTGGCCATTTCTCCCAGGTTTTGGAATTGCTCTGAGCTGGGGATGCACAGATGGCGATTGTCCCGCAAGGGGTGCGGGGGAGAAGGTGCAGCATTTCCTTGGGGCCCCCAACTGTCATTGACTCCCCACCTCTGGATGCCTCCCAGGTGCACTCTGCTCAGGCCACCCCTGGGTAGTGACTGTAGCCCAGATCATGGACCCCTCCTAACTCCCTCCGCATACTCAGGGGGTCCCTCCTGTGTCCCCTTCTTGGTGCAAGTTCACCCTCTCCAAGGGAACTTAGAAGGGAACTTGGGGCTCCCCTGGCGCAAACCTGCCCCTTTACAGGCGGAGAGATTGAGGCGGGGGGGAAGGAGGGGATCTCAGCGGGGACCAGAAGCTGGGCATCCCACTCCCTGCTCTGGACTCTCCCCCTGCCCCATCATGCGAGCTTCACCTCTACATTCCTTTCCCTTTGCTCCACGCCTTAATTTCCTTTCATCCTTTTTTTTTTTTTTTTTTTTTTTTTCTTTTTTTTTTTTTTTTTTTTTTTTTTTTTTTTTCTCCTTTTGTTTCTCCTCTTTGGTACTTACCTATGTATCTATGTATTTAGATATGACCCGCCTGGTCAAGGCTGCTTCCTGCGGGGGGATTAGCCAATCAGGCCGCCCTGATCTCCAGGGTGGATGACCGCTGGGGAGCCCTCCTCACATTGCCCCATGTGTCCTTTCCAAGCCACCCCAGTCCTTGTCTGTCCATTCCTGGCATTGTCCCCCGCAACTCCCATCCCCTCCTTCACTGGGACAGGGAGGCTGCGAGGAACTCACCTCCTCAAAGGGGCTTCTACTGTTGAGGTCTCTGGCCCCTGAGAAGACCCAGCTGTCCCGGAAGCCCAGCTGCTTTGCGTAGGTGCTGCCCAAGTTCGAGAAGAGCTTCCTGATTTCATCATTCATCCTGCAGGGGACCAGAGAGGACAGTGAGCTCGGGATAGGAGAAGGGGGAGCGTCTCAGGCCCTCGACTCACCCTCCACCCCTCCTCCAGCGAGGGCAGCAGCCTCTCCCGAGCTCAGGAGAAACAGGGCAGAGGATGCTTCTCCGAAAGCCAATTCGAGGGGCTGACGAAGTGTTACAACGGTTTTGCTTCTTTTTTGCAAATATGATAGATGTTCACTTGGAAAATACGGAACTTTACAAAGTAACTAAAAATTACTCAGTTTCACCCCCCTTGACATAATCATTGTAAAATTTTAGTACATTTCCTTCATGTCTTTTTTCCCTCGTGCACTGTGGGATTATACCAATTCTTTTGTAAACTGCTTTTTTTTTTTAACTTAATACTAAAGGGTGAACATTCTTCCGTGTCCTTAAATATTTTCTACATCAGCATTTTTGATGCAGTATATCCTCTTTTATGTATATATAATAATACGTCCTATATCGCCATATATCATGATTTCTGTCACCAGTTCGCTGTCACTGTGCAGGGAGAGTGTGTCCAGTTTTTCACTCTTGTGACCACGGCTGTGATGAATCCCCCAGAACATCTCTTTGTGCGCTTGTCTGCTTGGCTCCTTAGGAGAAGGTGTCAGAAGCTGGAGCCAGCAGGATAGTAGGAAAATGACTTGCAGTTTGGAGGTGTTTGATTCGCTTCTCCCCGTGGCCTGGCAGGCGGAGGTTCCCACTTACTTGGTCCCCGGGTCATCGTAGGAGGCCACCAGCACCAGCGTGCCCTCTGGAATTTCTTTAAGGAATTTCACCAGGAGGTTAGCATCTGTGGGAGGAAGGAAAAACGACGTGCTGGTCATTTAGGAGAAAGACGGCTGGTCATTCTCATCCTCTCCTATGGCCCTAACGATCAAGGCATGCCCGGGCAGCCTGACACTGAGCTCCATCTGCACAGGGTGAGGGCATCCTCATTCAGCTGGTCTGGGATGGGTTCTGGAATTTGAAAGTTTCCCAGGCGATTTTGCTCTGAAGCTGGGGCAAGAACCATGGTGTAAGGGCCCTTGAAGGTCTACCCCCCCAGGGGACCGAGCACAGTCACCTCTAAGGAGCTCCGCTGCCCCTTCTACACTGTTTAAGATGCACCCAGCCTGTCTATGCTGACTTTAGAGGGCACATCCACTGGGCAACTCGGGCCACTGAGAGAGAACATGGGGCTTCCACAACTCTCCAGCTTGTGTCAAGGAGCAAGGCTCCATTCGCATCTCTAACGCCTGCCTGCACTTGAGAGATCTCTGGATTGAACACAGAGCAGGTCTGGGGACAGCACCTGGGGAGGCATCAGCGTGCAGCTTGCCTCAACGACGCTGATTTTTTTCCTGTTGTGCTCATTTTTATAGTCACCTTCCATGCATAAAAAAAGATAATGGCTTTCTACTTAGGGCAGTGATATAATTTCCTTTTAAGATATATTTATTTAGGCTAAAAAAAAGTGAATGAGCTGATTTAAAGGAACACACGAACAGTGCAAATAGTACTCTAGATAAGGCATAACTTATACAGAGGGCTCTTGAACAGTGGAGGAAGTATGGGCAAGATTGGCCTGGTGGGCAAAGCAGGGGCTACATCTGTCAAAGGAGAGTAATTAATAGCCCTGCTCAGAGCATTTCTGTAAAGCTCAAATGTGACGATGACTCTGGGCTTGCAGTAAGTGCGTTATAAACAGAATTACAATTATTAGCAGGATTGGCTACAGAATTTTCAGGGCCCAGTGCAAAATGAAAATGTGGGCCTTTTGTTGAAAAATTATTAATAATTTCAAGACGGTGAAGGCAGAGCATCAAATCAAGTTCCTTCTAAGCAAGGGGCCCTGTGTGACTTTCCTGCTCACAGCCTGCGTGCCCATGAAGCTGCCCTGATTCTTACTATTCTGTGGGTGTCCCTTGAATTCAGAGGAAAAATCGAGTCCCCCAAGCAAGGCCAGCCACCAACTTGCTCTGTAACACGGAGGCCTCCAGTCAATGACCACAGCAGCCCTTGAACTCTTGAGACAAAAAGTGGGAGCTCTGAAATTACCATCAATTTGTTCGAGCCGTCAGCAGATATCAAGAGCTGGCTCTTGTCTGGAATGGACAGTGGATGTTTGGAAAAAATGAAGTGTACCTTCTGACAACTATCTTCTCACTTCAAAAAGTCATCTTCTTTTTTTTATCTTCTGTGAGAAAGGGTGACTTATTCTCAAAAGGCTTCTGTTTCTTGTTCCCCATCAGCCGTGGTTGCATCTAAGTTTATGATAAGGCATTATAAAACTTGGTTTATCTTTTTATTTTTTTTCCTTTTCAGATGACCTCCTTGCTTCCGAATCACATGGATGGAGTGAGGGAAGAGGGAAGGGAGATGAAGCTTCCCTGGGCTCCTCCCCCAGCCCGGCTGGGTCCCTCCCCCTGATTATTGCAGGTTATCATTTAATTCTCACATCCAGCTTATGAAGTGGAGGTCTATGGCTACCTCTATTTTATACATGACAAAACCAAGGTTCAAGAGATGTCACCTGCCTCAGGTCACCCAACCTGAAATCTCTGACTCCAGAGATGACCTTTACCATAACCTGGTCCCAGGCCACCCTGGACAGAGAACAAATGAAGGTCCCTGCCCTCGGCCCATGGCCTGTCCTGCTCTCTCCTCACCCGTCTCCAGCTCTGTCCTGTACCAGGAGGGGCTTTGCATGCCTGCATGTGGACACCCACCCTGCCTGTCCAAGCTCTGTCATTGCCACCCTCTCCTCCAGCAGCAGCCGTCCCCTGGCCACCCCTCAGTCCTATGGGTGTGTCTGTAGCATGGGGGGCACACCTGGAAGAGGTCTGCACGGGCCCTGATGCAGGCTCCAGGTGGGCACGTCCTCTGGCCCTGCAGACCCTATCTGTGAGGTGGGACTCGGCTGGAAGACGGCCATAGTGGGAAGCCCTGAGCCCAAGACACAGTCCCAGCTCCTGTCTCTAAGGATGCCGTCACCGGTCACCTTCTGAACACCTTCCCCCGCTGTGACTTCTCGGCAGCAGACTTCCATTTCCCCTATTTCAGCCCCTCCTTTGTCTGTAAAGCCAAGAGGGCTTCCTGCTCTCTGCTGCTTGGGGATTGCTCCCCTTCTGGGCTCGCATATTTAGGTGGGTGCAGTGAGGTAGGTTTTCCCTGGAGACGGAGGCAAAGGTGGGAGATTGAGGATAGAAGAAAACAGCTGATTGGCAGCAGGAGGGCCCTTCCATTCTGCGAGGAGCTTCTGGGGTGAGGGGTCTCATGCTCAGCGCCCTTGATGCCCGAGCCCAGAGCTGGCCCTGTGGTCGCGGGGACACAGAGGGATACTGAGTGGAGCTGGGTGCCGAGAAGGAGGCTGAGCTCAGTTCATCTATCCTGGCGGAAGCCAGTCCTTGCAGGGCCCAGACCTCTGCTGCCTGCAAGGGGCCACCCTGCTGCTTTTTCGCTCCTGCTGAGGCTCCTGTGTTGGTGGGGGGCTGGGTTGCCGGCTGGGCAGCAAGTGGCATATTGGGCCCGGGACTGATTCCACCACATTTTGGAAGATGTCTCAAGCCTGCGTGAGAGTCCCGCCTCCACCCACAGCTTTGCTGGGCGGCCTGTCAGGGAGCAAGCTGCTGGTGGGGACTTAGGTATCCGGGCCTCCAGCCCAGGTGAGTCGATGCCCTGTTGCTGGGCCGTGCTAAGGACAAGGAGAAAGTGACTTCCTGAGTAAGGGGTGTCCATGGGTACAGAGCAGCTCAGAAAGCATGTCTAGGTAGAGAGAAGAAAAGACATCTGCAGAAAGATGCAGAGAGCTTGGAGCCTCAGAGCTGTCCTTTCTGGGCCTCGGGAGGCCTTGTCCTGTCCTTGGGCTTGATAGCAACCCTGCGGCTTAAAAAAAATACCTTCTACCTAGCAGAGAGCTTGGAGCCTCAGAGCTGTCCTTTCTGGGCCTCGGGAGGCCTTGTCCTGTCCTTGGGCTCGATAGCGACCCTGCGGCTTAAAAAAAATACCTTCTACCTAGCAGAGCAAACTGGGCCACATTCCCTCGTCCTCAGCATTTCAGTGCACACGTGCCTGGCCTCCCACTGCCAGCAACAGCATTTCTTTGCCTGAAGGTCTTCTCCGGCCTCCACATCCTCCTTTGTACCCTGGGGCAGGCCAGAAGCGTGGGGAGTGCCAAAGAATAGGGGAAGGAGCACCCCGGCTCCCTTGCCCCTCGGGGTGTCTCAGGGGCACATGTTCTACGCTGGCTCCCCGCAGCGATCGTGGCTCCGTAACGCTCTGCACTGGCTGCCTGCCTTTGCCCGGCTCACTCCCCCACTCCCTACTGACATTCCCTGAGATCACCTCCTCCCAAATAAACACCACACTTGAATCCTTGCCTCAGGATCTGCATCAGGGAGCGCCCAGTAAGGCAACAGAAAGGAGTTTCAAAGGCAGCAGGACGGCCCTCCCCACTGTGCCGCTTTCTGACTGGGTCCCTGGAAACAAGAGCCAAACTCCCTGGCACCCAGGTAGCCTCTTGCCACAGGAAGGAGCTCAGCCCGCCCTCGACTTCAGTGCCAACAGTGGTGCCTACCTCCAGAGTACATGTCGAAATATTTCTGTGTCATCACCTTTCCCGTGGTTCCTAAGGGATAAGAGAGCAGAACTGTTATTTGCCGTAGCACGTCATTCTGTCTTTCATGTTGTGGAGAGTGGCTACTCTGTAGTCTAAGGTCTAAAAATAGAATAGAATAATAGTGGAACAAAATTAGGTCCCGTAGAAAGCATGCAGGACTAAATTAGGTGCCCAGCAACCATTGGGCTGATCTGAGAGGTACTATAGCACATAACGGTGCAGGGTCTCTGGAACTGAATGGAATCCAACCAGTCTGGGTTTATGTTCTGCCCTGCCACTCCCTAATGCACGACTTAGCCTTTGACCTCAATTTTTGCATCTGTACCATGGGCTGTGGGAACTAAGTGAGATGTATTTAAAATATATGCATGTGAGATAAATCTTACCTATAAAATAGTAACTAAAAAAACTACAACCATAATTACTATTCTCACCTAAATAGGAACTCTGCAATTTGAGTGCTCCAACTCTTGGAGGCAAAGGGATTTTCAGTGGGCTGAAGTGTACTCAGTGTCCGGAGTCCAGTAATCTGGATTGCCTTGGTGGGTTTTGCAAAGCGTACAAATCCTACAGGGAATCAGGTGTTCTGGAGGAAAATTGCAATTCTTACCTTTGGCCACTGGATGGGGGTGTTGCAGAGGGGATGGCAGCTCTAGTTTCACCTTCACTGCCCCCTCCCCCTAATTCAGTTGGTAGATTTGATACGAGGGTGGCGACAGGGGCCTGGGTAGTGGCAGCGCTCCTGCCGGGTGGGAGCAGGCTCTCATTGCAGTCCCCCGTGAATTCTTGGAGCCACTAGTGTCCAAGCCCCCTCCAGACACTTCACCTGGGGCTCTTGGGAAGGAATCTATGGAGCCGGTGAAACTACTTTTGTGATCCTGTGCATTTGTGGATTTTTCTGGAACCGGGGGTGGGGGGGCGAGGGGGGCGGAGGAGGTGTAGTTTGAACAGTTTCTCAAAGGAATCCCTGCCATCTAAAAGGTTGAGAAGTAGCGATACTTTTGTTGTTCTGGCTCCTTATGTAGATGAGGACCCTGAGGCCCTGAGAGTGATTTGTTAGACTTTCCACAGCTGGCATGCAGTAGGCGCTGCGCATGTGCTTGGACACATTTCTAGTCTAGCGGGTAGTTTCGCTGATTAAGACCTGGAGTCAGCCAGAGCCAGGTTCAAATCTAGATGATGCTATTGGCTGTGTATCCTGGGCAAGTTGCCCAGCCTCTTTGAGCCCCCATTTTTCTACCTGGAGAACAGGGAAACTGAGCATAGCTGCCTTCTAGCATCGTGATGACGATCAGTGAAATAGCTAGCACACAGTAAGTGCTCGATAAATATTAGCTCTCAGTGTTATCAGTGGTTGTTTTTTTTGTTTGTTTGTTTTTTTGCGGTACGCGGGCCTCTCACTGTTGTGGCCTCTCCCGTTGCGGAGCACAGGCTCCGGACGCGCAGGATCAGCGGCCATGGCTCACGGGCCCAGCCGCTCCGCGGCGTGTGGGATCTTCCCGGACCGGGGCACGAACCCGTGTCCCCTCGGACTCTCAACCACTGTGCCACCAGGGAAGCCCCAGTGGTTGTTTTTATCTTTGGGCTTTGCGAGTGATGGGGAAGGAGGCCTCCGTCTGAGCCCATCTCCTGGGAGAATATTCAGGCGTTTTCTCCCACGGTGGTCCATTTGGGGGAAGAGAAGCCCAGCAGGTTTCAGCCAGGTCGGTTGCAGCTGGAGCCCTTCCCTGCCCTCCCCACTGTGGGGTGAGTGGAGACTGGGTGGGACAGTTGATGTAAGTGAGGCTGCTACAGTCTCCTGGGGCCTGGCGTGCCGGGGGTGCTCTGAGACCGTCTGGAAGGGGCCAGCAGCAGGGGGACTCAGGCCTCCCTCTCCTCTAGACTCTGGAGGAGGAGCGGCCCCCCCTCAGCGTCCTGCCCCTCCTGGCCCACACCCTTCCTGGACTCCCAGGAAGTTGGCCAGGGCTGTCCTCTGACCCCTGTCCGGCAACGCTCCTCCTTTGTTCCAGGCTTTGACCTCTCCCCTGACGCAGCAGGCTTTCTTGGCAGACGGGAAATGGGTCCTCTAGGAGCAAAGGGCCAGGGTTCCAATCCTACCGTGTCACTTCCTAAGTGTGGTTGTGTGGTCACACTGCACGCAAGCTTGAACTCTTTTTCTCCCGAGTGTCCACTGTGCCCTTTTTCCATCTGCCCTGACCTTTGTCCCAGGAATAGCTCTTAGATCCAGGCAAATAGCCCCTGTTCCCCAGATCATGTAAGAGCTGAAGGCAGACAGGAGGGGCTCGGCTGGGGCCACACCACCTGGTCCTTCTCGGCCCCTGTAACCTACCCCCTCCTGAAATATGTCCCTGTTCCTGGCTTGGCCTGCAGTTGACTTCCTGCTCATCACCTGCTGGAGATGCAGGCTTACTGAGACTGTGGCCTCCCTGGGTCTCCCTGCCTCTAGCCTCCCTATTCCAAGCTAGAAGGAGGTTTCAGGTAGGCAGGGCTGGGCCCTCAGCCCCTGCTCAAAGCCTTTCCAAGGCTCCCTATTTTGCTCTGCTTCAGGTCCACACTTCTTAGCGGGACACTTAGCCCCTCATCCTCTGGCCCTGCTGGTCCCCCAGCCTCGCCTCTCACCACCCTGCTTCTATGTTATAGCCAGAGAGGGCCTGTGTGGACCCCCAAGCCCCTCTCCCCCTTCTTCCCTTCCCTGCGCCCTGCACAGTGTTGCCCCTGCCTGGAAGGAGCCTTCCTCTTTTCTCCTGGTCAACCCTCAGGCCTCAGCTGACCATCACCTCCCTCTGGAAGCCTCCCCCCCCTCCGACTACCTCGGCTGCCAGCTCTGTGTCCCGATCCCAGAGCTGTGTTTCCTTTTCCTTCATATGTGCTCACCACCTTCTGATTTTTTTGTGAACTTCATGGGCGCCCACAGGGGCTTGTCAAGCCAGGGTCTGTCCTTCTAGTTCACAGGTGACCCCCAGAACTCCATACGGGGCCTGGCCCACAGTAGCTGCTGTCGCTCTTTGCCGAATGAGTGAATGAAGGCGTGCACTCAGCGTGTAATCTCACATTGTCCCCTATGGTTTCTTGTGTGTTGGTTTAAGCCCAGACGGGGTCACGTTTCATAGGAGCAGTGTATCCTCCTGAGATAGCTGCACCTGGCAGGGACCTGGCCATGACTGCAGGGCAGACCGGCTCTTTTAGACCTGTTCCCACAGGCCAGCCAGGCTTCAGAGCGTGGTGGGGGCCAGCGGGGGGTGGATCGGCAACTCACCGTTCACCAGGGCGATGTTCAGACCTCTGCCCACATGGTTTTTCACAGGACTCATGATCCTGAAGAGAAAGAAGAAAAACAAAATACAACAGTTGGTCCCGAGTGTGGAGTGAACACTCTGGAGCTCTGCAAGGGCCCACATGGTGTGATGCCGAAGCATCAGGAAACACACGGAATTATTTGGGCCATCTGTTTTGTCCTGGAAACGAGCGGTGGGCTGGATTCTCTGGGGAGTCTCTCATGGCACGTTGGGACCAGAACAGTCTGCCCAGGGAAGAGGGAGGGTCCCTGCCTGGGGCTCGGAGGTGCTGGAGGCAGGGTCAGCCCATGTCCCCAGGCTAGGTGAAAGGCAGAGCCCAGAAAGTTGCTCCCGTCCCGCCATGTCTGGGATCCCCAAGTGGAGCCCAGCTGTGTTCCTGCGGCCCAGCATCCATACCCCGTCCTCTGGTATCCCTGGGAAAAGTGTACTTCTCTGTCTCAGGCCAGGAGGTTCTCAGCACTGACCTCTCTCCCAGGCCCGGACAAGCCGGTATCCTGTGCCCCTGGTCACAGTGATTGGGCCAGTGTGGTCATGTGACCCAGGCCAGCCAATGAGCCCCAGCCCCGGGACTTTTGCAGGGTTAATTCAAATGGGAAAGCTCTTCCCAGTGGGGTGCTGGACGGGGCTATTATGTCAACCCAGCTGGTGGCCTCCCTCCTTCACCACAAGAAGTCCATCTTCAGTAGAGAAACCGAATCTAATGACAGAGGAGAGCAGAGCTGCAGGTAGTGAGAGGGAGCCCTGATGACTTGGTTTGAACGCCTGGATTCAGCTGGTGCTGGAGCCCACTGCCTCTGGCCTTTTGGGTACGTGAACCAGTAGGTTTCCTTGTTTTGCCTAAATGATTTGCATCTAGGTTCAGAATCCGTACTAAAGCACCTGTCTCTGGCTTCTTTTGTAGGATGAACTTGCTGTCCCAGGGACCTCACTACCTAGAAAGCCTGGTATAGTCTTTTCTCCTGCACCTGGGTAGAAGCCCTGGCACCTGCTGCATCTGAGCTTTGATGCCTGGACCTTGATCTTGAACACCCCCCTTAGGCATCCCCCGTCATGGGAAGCCCAGCAGCTTGGCTATCAGACAGACCTGAGTTCAAATCCTGGCTCTACCAAGGGTTAGCTGGGTAACACTGTCTGAGCCTCAGTTTCCTCATTTTTACAAAGGGAGGGATTATCGCCCCACCTCCAGGAATGCTGGGGGATTGAGGGAGGCTGATGCTGTAAGGCGTCTAGCAAGGTGCTGGCAGATTTGCAAGATGTTAGGATTATTATCACGTGTGACTCACCCACCCAGAGTAAAAGGAAGCATGTCGGAGGTGTGGTCTGGTCTCTAGGGCCTGCCCTTGAGGCCTCTAAACTTGCTAATGAGTGAATTAATGAAAGAAGAGAAAAGAAATGCCAGAAACTTACATTTGGCCTTCAAAGCACACGGAGGGGCCCACTACGTTGGCGGCCCCGCTGCTGATTTTAAACGCAAAGAAGTTGTCTGGGCAGGATTTGCTGAGGCCACACTTGGTCTTCACCGAGTGTGAAGCTGGGGAGGGAACAGAATAGCTTTGGTGGCGGCAGCTAAGGAAGGGGCCCAGGAGGAGAGGGGCCGGGACAGGGGGCCTCCTCCCAGGGGTGCCTTCCCTGGCCACCTAGGTCTGCGGATTTGCCCCTTTCTGTGCTCCCACAGTGCTTCCAACAACCCCATCAAAGACACGGGACGCTGCGTGTCTGACCACTCAGCGTTCATTTCTGGGTTTCCCATCACAGCCCCAGCCCTGGCACAGCTCCTGGCTGCCCGCAGGCCTTCAGGAACTGTGTGCAGAACAGTGAGTGGGGGTAAATGACCCGAGTCAGTGTGATTAAGGGATTCTCTTGAGAGCTTTCTCTTGAGACATGGCAGCCTTTTGAGCTCACAGAGGCCCCTGTTGACCAGCTCCTGGGGGCCCAGCATGGTGGGTGGGAGCGCTTCTCACCAGCCAGGTTCCCTTGAGCAAGTCTTCAACCTCCTTGCAAATCTGCTCCTTCATCTGTGACATGGGCTAATGATGGGTTCTTGTGCGGGATTAATGAACTCAGGTTAATGCTCAGGGCTTATTGGCTATTCTTCTTATCACTCATTTCCGGAGCACTTACTTTGGGCCAGACCCTGAGATTCAAAGGGACCAGGCAGGTGGTTCTGGAACTTCCCTCCCGGGGCTTAGCATGGTCCCTGGAACCCACTGAGGACTCAGTATGTGGGACCTCTGATTATTGTGGCTGCTATTAAGACCTGCGTCCTCTCTACATGGCCCTCCCAGGGCAAACTCTGGAGGCCTGTGAAAGGCGAGAGAGGCAGATGCGCCCCCAAACACAGCCGCTGAAATGTCACCCACACTTTCAGCCTGGCAGTTTCTAACTCATATTCATGCATGTTGTTTTAACACCACCTGACAGTTCAGAAGGTGCCAGGAGGGAGGACTGGGTAAACAGGGAATTAGAGAAAGTTCACCTGCAAGGGGAGAGCAGTGATCAGGCAGCCTTTCTCTCCTTCAGCCCCCACGCCAGGCGTCTGGCTGAGCCGCCCCAGAGTGCTTGGAGCAAACCCACAGGCCTCCCGATGGACGCTGGCACACGCCAGGGCCTTGCTGCCTGCTAGGCACTGTGGCAAGCCCTTTATCTTTACTGTCTTGTTAAATCATCCCCATAACTCCTGTGCCTGCCATATAGGAGGCACTCGATAAATCTTCACTGAATGAACACCTAGAGCATTTGGACGGGTCTGAGCCCAAGCTGGGAGGGTGATTAGGGTCTCCAGGGCCTAGAGGGAGCCTTAATGGGAATCAGGAAAAAGCGTCCCTCTGGGGGGACACAGCCCACTAGTGCCAAGCTCGGCAAGCCTGTGGTGCCTCGGAGTGGGTGATGGTGCCCCTTCTTAGGAGCGAATGCAGCCTGCACCAGGGCTCTCCTGGTGGAGTGGGCGGCCCTGATGATCTGAGCAGAAAGCCCATCCTAGGCTCTCGTTCCCCACCCCGAGTGCCAGCATACGGTCCTGGTGGGTGTAACCAGAGCTCCAACTGGTACACCATCACCAGAGAGTGAGGGCCGGGAGTGGAGACACCCCCAAGTGGCTCAGGAGAGGGATGGCTGGAGATGTGGACCCGACGGCCCTACCCCTCCCTCT